GCCCCCTGGCCCGGCCCTTGCCGGGCCCAGGAGCTGTGCAGACGCCCTCCTGGCATGGCGGATCCACCGCTGCCGGGTTCAGGATGGGCCTGGCCAGGGAGCAGTGGAGGGGTGGAGATTGCGTCGCTCTAGGGCAGTGCTGGGCAGTTCTCATTGCCCAGGCGGTTCTCCCGTGGTCGATTAGCCGAGGGGCCTGCAGGAGTATTCTTGGGCCACGGTCCGACGCCTGGGCTGGTCCTTACAGGCGCCATGGTCGATCACGGAGCAAGGGGACATCGTCGACCTCGGAGACATTGGAAATGCGCGGCGTTGTCGTTGGCTGACCGTCGAGCAGTTTCCGCTTGCAGTTCGCGCGTCATTTGACGGTCCCGTTGGTCTAAAGTTCCTCATGTGGGGGGCGGGGGTCGTTTTTCATGCGCTCATTGGCATGTGGTAGCTGCATGGGTTGATACGGAACGCGACCCTCAGCGAGGTACAGACGTGGTGGATCCAGAGGCTGGGGGCGGAGATAGAGACTCAGGAGCTCCTCTGCCTCGCGCCGATCCGCGCTTGGACCGCTCTGGAAGCCGGTGCCGCCAGCTGGCCCTGGCCCCCTCCTGGCAGAACCCCTGTCTGTGCGCCAGGGATGCGGCGGAAAGCCATGCCAAGAGACACCCTGCTTGCCTCCAGGGTGCCCTGGGTTTCTTGGGTTTCGAAGGTTTTGCCGTGGAAAGCGTGGCGCTCCCACACCAAAAGTCAATGGACGTCCTGGGGTTGCAGGGTTGGGTTTCTTGTGGAAGTTTTCTTGTGGTCGGGCTCCTGCTGTATGTGCCCGCGAGGCTGGGCGATGATCTGACCAATCGTCTCGTGCTGCTTTTTCGCACAGCTGTCGGCGTGACCTGTGCGCGTGGCGGAACTGGCGTCCGAGGTCTGCCCGCACCCAGCTCGCTCTGGCCACGCCCCGAGTCCGCTTCATTCCACTTGGCCCCCGCGCCCCCCGCGCAATTCGTGAGGCGGCCCCGGGACACGGGCTCCCGAGCCACGAGGCCTCGCGGGCTCCCGAGCCACGAGGCCTCGCGCCGGTGCGCGCTCTTCTCCACCATACCGTCAGCAGGGCGTGGCCGAGGGAGCCCACAGGACGCGGGTCCGGGCCCCCTTCGCCGGGCGGGCGCTGCCGCGGACGAGGCTCCACGGCACGGGCCCGGAGCACAGCGACTCGCGCCAGGCATGCCAGAATCCAGGCCTCCCAGATGGTCGGGGGCGGAAGAGAGGGGGGTGATGACTAGGGGGGGGTGGATATCATGGCGGGGGCCATGATATTTCCCCAGGTCTCCTGGCGCCTCCTCTTATTTCATTACGTCCCTGGCCCCCCCGCTGGGCCGCGCACATGCCGCCGGTCATGATTTGCACCCCCCCCCTCTTGGACACCCCCCTCTTGGCCGCTCCCGAGATGGGGCCAGAGCAGATGGGGTCGGAGGATCGCGCCGCATCGCTGGTGCGCTCGGCGCGGAGCCCGATGTTCTGCACGCCGACGTCGCCGCTGCATCGCCCACGTCGGCGCTGCGGCGCGGTCTTCCGGCCCCACCTGCTCGGATCCCGCCTGGGAGACCTCTAGAGTCAGGAGCGAAACACGGACGTACATGTACATGAATCCACGCTGGTTCCGAGAGTACGCATTGCGAAAATGTTCGTACAACGCGGCGGGTCTCGCGAATCGAGGGGCCGTGTTCATGTACATAGCTGGGCGCGTACGTTCTTTGTGGGCTCCCTCCAGAGAGGGAGCGGCGCACCAAGCGGCATCGGACCCCCTGTTGCGAGGCGCGCGCTGAGGCGTGTCGCGCAGAGGGCGGCCACGGCACCGTTCCGAGAGGGGGTCGACGGTTGGCTGCGCGTGTCTCGCCGCAGGAGCTGGCCCACCGCGCTTCGGCGCGGCACGCCCTCCACGTCCCGGGCCCCAAGCGTCAACGTCTTTCAGGAGGGGAAAAAACACACAGACACAATTGATCGTCGACCCCCAGGAAAATATGGGAAAATATGGGGAGTGGGGGGAAGACAAGAACCCAGAAAAATGTGGAAAAATATGGGGCATCTTTTTATTTGTGTATATTTATTTGTGTGTCCTGGGGCCCCTTTAGTCTTGAGCCTTGCCCAGCCTCCCGCCCCTCGCAGAGGAGCGACACGCAACCAACCCGCTCGCACGGCACAGCGTGTCGCCGGGGCCGCCGCCGCGACACGCCGAGGAGAAGTTCCCGACCGTAGCCCTCTGGGCAAGAGGCCCTGCGGGATCGGGCATCCGCGAGGAGCCAGGGCGGCAGCTGGGTCTCGACAAGCTGGGGGTGGCGAGCATCGAGGTAGCTTCTATTGTGTGTCGTTGTGGGGGTCTCTATCATGACTCATAGTAAGGAGCGCCTCTTAGATGTCGCAGTAGGGAGTCTCTACTGAAACTCAGACAGAGTAGGGAGTCCCTACTATGAGTCGTACTAGGGAGCCCCTACTATGACTCATAGTAGGGGGTCTCTATTACGGCTGAATGTTGCGGGGAGCTTTTCCTGCGGTGCGACGCGCGGGATCGAGCGTGGTGCAGCTCGATGGCGAGGAGCAGGTCGGCTTCATCATGCGCGGACCCTTGTCGTCTGAGCAGGGCTAGCAGCGCACCTTCTCAGCGGAGTCGTGGGCTGTCGCCGAGGCGCTCCAGATTGCAGTGTCGCCGATCCGCGTATGGTCGGTTTGTGCGGCGGTGGTGCAGGGCTTCGCGCAGGGGCCAGGACATACCACCAGAGCAGCATCAAGGTACGCTACGGTGTGGCGGCGGGTGTGGCGCCTGGTTGAGGTGTTGAGGGGCATATGCCTCGTTGGAGTGCGGGTACGGAAAGGAAAGGCGCATGCAACACGGCTCGAGCGTGCAAGTATGGGCGCACTCCTCGTTCAGAGCAGTGACCACGCCGACCGTCTCGCAAAGCAAGGGGTGGCGCTGCGCCAGCACGAAGAGTGGAAGCGGGACGCTTACGTAACACTCCCCAGTTGCGGATAAGAGTGGGGGGCGGGCGCGGGGTTGGTCGCGGGTGAGTCGCGGGTGAGTTGCAGGGTGGGTCGCGGGGTGGGTCGCGGGGTTGGTCGCGGGGTGGGGGGACGACGACAGCAGCAACACTTGTTTCGTCAGTGGCGAGGCGGCGAACTCCGCTCCAGCGAGAAGCTAGAAGGGGCACTAACCAGCGAATTGGCCGGCGGGCAAAAAGGGAGGGGGGGGGACGGCCGAGAGAAAAAAAGGACGCTCAGACGCCGAAGAGTTCGACGATGAGCAGCCGGGGGGGCAGCAGCAGCCAGGCGCGCAGGGCCAGAGCGCGGTAGGCGGCCGTGGCAAACCACGGTGGCAAGGGTGGCGGGAGGGCGGCTGCCAGCAGCTGGAGCTGGCGGGCGGGCGCAGTGGGACACCACGAACGGCAGAGGTACCGCGGCGCGCCGAGGAGTAGGCACAGCTCTGAACCGTGCGGAGGCAGGAGCAGCGCAGCCAGATGGCTGGCAGTGACAGGGGTATTGCGGCGTGACCGCCCAATGGCGCGCCAGGTGGCCAGAGGGCAGAGAGAGGTGGGGCAGGAGGCGGCGGGCGAAACGTCCCAGGCGCCCGGGGGCGGCGTGGCGGAACAGCAACGCAACGGGAAGAGGCAGCGCGGGGCTGCGGGAAGGAGGTGGCGACGCAGCCAGATGGCTGGCAGTGACAGGGGTATGGCGGCGTGGCCGCCCAAGGACGCGCCAGGTGGCCAGATGGCAGAGAGGGGTGAGGCATGTGGCGGCGGGCGAAGCGTCCTAGGCGCCCGCAGGCGGCGGGGCGGAACAATATCGCAACGGGAAGAAGCAGCGCGGGGCTGCCGCGGAAGGAGGGGAGCAGACAGCAGCAACACACACAGACACACCACAAGCAGTATCCGGGCCACGGACCCACGCACCCAGGGATGTGTAAGACCGTTCGGCCCCCAGGCTCTGACATTCGTCGCGTGATCACGACGATGGCCTCGATGTTGATGACGAATATGATGATGGTGATGGTGATGGTTCTGGTGCAAGTGTTATTGAAGATGATTCTGATGATGCGGATGATGATGTTGATGGCGATGATGATGATGTTGATGATGCTGGTGATGATGATGATGGTGGTGGTGGTGATGGTGGTAGTGAAGGTGGTATTGAAGATGATTTTGGTTATGCGGATGAGGATGATGTTGACGGTGATGACGATGTTGATGATGATGGTGGTCATGACGATGATGATGATGGTGGTGGTGGTGGTTGTGATGATGAGGACGATGATGCTGCTGGTGATGATGAGTATGATGACGGTGATGCTGTTGTTGATGATGCTGATGATGATGATGCTTGATGGAGTCGGAAGAGGAGAAGGAGGACAGAGGGCCTTCCTATTCCTCTTCCTCCTCCTACTCTTTGTCGTCGCTTTTGACATCGTGAACGTGGTCGTGGTCGTCCCACAATCCTTTCAAAACCAGAGCAGAAACCCTTCCCGGGAACGACCCTGGCCATCTTTCCGAGCCGCGTCTGGCCCTGGCGACGAGCCTCCCCAGAAACGCTCCAAACCTCCGAAACGAAGTCGTGGTCGCCGACGCCGACGCCGTCGCCGTCGCCTTTGCCTTCGCCTTTGCCTTAGCCTTTGCTGTCGCCGTCGCCGCCGCCTCCGCCACCGCCGCCGTCACCGCCGCCGTCGTCGTCGTCGTCGTCGTCGTCGTCGTCGTCGTCGTCGTTGTTGTAGTCGTTGTCACCGTCGTTGTCGCCGTTGTCGTCGTTGTCGTCGTCGTTGCCGCCGCCGTCCTGACCGCAAACCGCTCAAACTGTGTTCCCGGACCCCTCCTGGGCTCACCCAGGTTCGTCTACCACCCGAGATCGATCTCGGTGGCGCCAGGGCCGCCCAGACGGGCACCAAGAGCCCGAAACCACAGAAACACCTTCGAGATTGGAACGTCGTCGTCGTCGTCGTCGTCGTCGTCGTCGTCGTCGTCGTCGTCGTCGTCCAGGGCCTGAACGCGGCGAAGTCGCTGTGGCCCCAGCTGCTCGGAGCGCTGCGGCGCGGCGGCGCGGGGGAGGCCGGGCTGCTGGCGAAGCTGCCGGAGCCGCTCGCCGCAGTCATCGTCGCCGCCGTCGTCGCCGTCGTCCGTGCGTCGGAGGGCCGTCGAAAGCAGTCGGAGGGCCGGTGTCGGCGTCGGTCATCGTCGCGGTGGTGGGGGATCTACTGAAGGAATCCCTCCTAAGCAACCCCTGGCTACGGAATCCTTGCTCTTGAATCCTTGCGGAAGGAATCATGAAGGGGGAACATCCGCAGAAGTCATACTGAAGGAATCCTTGGCCGGGAGATCTTTACTAAAGGAATTTTTACTCAGGGGTCCTTGCCAAAGGAATTCTTCCGGAGTGATCCTTAATATGGATCCTTAATTGAGAAATCAGTAGCGAGGAGCCCTTATTAAAGCTATCCTTCACGAAGGAGGCCTCATGTAAGGACTTCTCGCTGAGGAATCTTTTCTGAATGGATTTTTACTAGAAGGGCGTGTTATGACGGACTCCTTTTTACTGTCGTGCTCTTTCTGCAAGCGTTTACCCTACGCAATACGATTCCTGATGCAAAGTGAACGGCTAGAAACATTTGAAAGCAAGCAACATATGTAAAACCAATCGCATTAGTATTTCGGGATTACTTACGGCAGGGGATTCCTGACCCGAGGCCTTTCACACAAGTTCTCCCGAAGTTGTTGTCGCTTCCGGTGGTTTCTGGTGTTCCACCCTTGTGCATAAGGAATCCGCTTGTAAGTTATTACGTATGCAGTGCTTGTGTATTAGCGACTTCTCAGTACGGATTCTTTTCAGTAGGGATTCCTCCAGCAAGGATTCCTTAAGCAGGATTCTTTACGTAACGATCCCTGGAGTAGGGATTCAGCCAGATCGGATTCCTTACAGAAGGGATCATGTGGCAATGCTTCATGTAGTTATGATTCGCTTAGTAAGGATCTCTTTGCCAACGATCACTTCAGTATTTCTTCAATGAGGGTTCCCCCTGAATGGTTGCTTCAGCAGATCCAGTAGTAAGGCTTTCCCAGGAAGGAGTCCTTCAGTCAATCCCCCACCAACGGTCAATCTGCACGTCGGAAGAGCGAAAGAGAGAGAGATAGAACGAGAGAGAGAGAGAGAGAACAACAACATGGGAAACAGGAGGTGAACATAAGACCTTTGAAGTCCACCAGGCCTCAATTTGCGCCAGGATGCCTCCAGCAAGGAATCCAGAGTGAGGACTTTTAGTGCGGATTCCTTACGTAAGGACTCCCTTAATAAGGGATCCTGCAGCAAGGGTTCCTTAGTGGAGATTCCTTAGTCGGGAGTACTTCCAGACTCCTTTGACAAGTATTCCTTCGGCAAGGATTCCTTTAGTAATGGTTTCTTAGGAAGGATTCCTACAGTACATTCCCACCAATGGAGTCAATTCTAGACGTCAGCCATATATACATATACACACGTACATGCAATATATAATATAGAGGGGGGAAGAGAGAGAGAGAGAGAGAGAGAGAGAGAGAGAGAGAGAGAGAGAGAAAGAGAGAGAGAGAGAGAGAGAGAGAGAGAAAAGAGAGAGAGAGAGAGAGACAGGGAGAGAGAGAGAGAGAGAGAGAGAGAGAGAGAGAAAGCTAGATGTTCAAATAAAGAGAACGAGATATATGTATATGTATGTGTATATATATAGGGATATCAGCATATTTATATATATATGTATAATATAGCGATACAGAGAGAGAAAGAGAGAGAGAAAGAGAGAGATAGAGAGAGAGAGAGAGAGAGAGAAAGAGAGAGAGAGAGAGAGAGAGATAAGAGAAAAGAGAGAGAGAGAGAGAGAAAGAGAAGAGAGAGAGAGAGAGAGGGAGAAAAAAAAGATAGAGGATCAGGCAGGGGGTGCCGAAACGAGGGAGACCACCAGGCCCCCTCTGCGCCTGGAGCCCACGGAGGGACCCTGGCGGCGCCTCCTCTACGGGGTGGAGCACCTCTGGGATCCATCGGGGATTAGGGCTCGAGGATCGGGACTGTCGGGCGCGCCTGGCTCTTCGGGGCCTGGGGTCCACGACCCCCCCCCCTCTTTCCCTCAGGACACGTGTCCTTCGTGCCGCTTCGTGGGGAGGACGCCCCGGGCGGCGGCCAGCTGCCACCGCCGGCATGCTGACGGCAGCCCGCCGTGCAGCGTCCCCCTTCTGCGCACGGCCCCCCGTCCCCGGGCGTCCGGCCCCTCTCCGGTCCCCGGGCGTCTCGGCCCCTTCCCCGGGGGCAGCTGCTCGCCCCAGGTCCTCTTTTTTGATGGCCCTGGGGCTCGACGGCTGCCCTTGGCGACCATGGTCGCAGTAGGACGCCGCGACTGAAACAGACGATGCTTCTGAGGGCTTGGTCCCGGCGTTCGCGCGCTGAGGGGCGAGTGGACATTCGACTCCAGCACGCCGGCCTCCCCATCTTTTTGCGGGGCGCAGGGGCAATGACGGCTCATCAAGAGAGTGGCATTAGCCGTTCCCCGCCCTCTCGTCTGGGAGATGAGGAGGATGAGGAGGTCGAGGAGGACGAGGAGGAGGAGGAGGACGAGGATGATGGTAGGATGAACGTGGAGATGCATGTTGAAGGAAGGGAGGAAGTAACGAGGGAAGGAGGGATGGGTTCTGGGATGGAGGAGGAGGAGGAGGACGAGGAGGAGGAGGAGGAAGACCAGAGTAAACCAAAGATGCGTAAGCGATGCTGCAATGCACCCTCTCGTCCCAAGTCCTCCCCTCACACGCCCCTGCAAGGTCTCTTTCTCGCTCCAAGAAGCTCCCCGTTGAACTGCCAGCACACTTGTGCCTGACATTTTGGCGTGGGCCTCGCTTTGAAACGCAAGTGCCTTGCATCTACCTGACGCGTCGTCAGGAGAACGAAATTATCACAGAACGAAGTGATCACACTGTTCACCCGTGTGTCCAGCGAGGTTCCCCTTTCGAAGAAGGATCGCCCCCAATCCGTGTAACAGCTACATGCCTTTACACGTGTTGTAGCAACCAAGCGACAGCTCCATTGAAACAAGAGCCGCCATGTAACCGTATAGCCCGACGCGTGCTGAGGTTTCGTTTTTTTTTTTTTTTTTTTTTTGTTTAAATACCTTAGCGAAGTCTCAGGCGACAGGCCCATGTTGGAAAAGAGTAGCCCTCAATCCTGCTAAAGAAGGCACTGAAAACCAATGCGCGCGGCGCTGAGGCGAGAGTGTTTTTTTGTAAACGACCAGTGCTCAATCCTTAACGCCATTACAGGATTTGAGTCGAATGTTCGCGTCGCTTAGGAACGAACCTCACTTTGAGCTGCCCTCCATCCATGAAGGTGGTGCACATTTTTGAAAAGGAATGTGCGCGCGGTGCTAAGGCGAGAGCGCCATTTTGAAAACGCCCTCCCTCAGATCTAAGACTGTTGCACCTGTTTACGGCGAGTGTGCAAGGCGCTAAGTCGAGAACCATATATTTCAAACGATCAGCCCTCCATACGTGAAACTGTTGCAATCTTTTGAGACGGAGAAGCGCGGCGCTAAGGCGAGAACACCATTTGAACCGGAGCCGCCCCCACCCTTGAAGCTGTTGCGAACTTTTACGACGAACGTGTGCGGCGCAAGGGCGGGAGCCACATTTTATTGAAAACGACCCGCCCCGCATCCGTGAAACTCTTGCTGACATTTGCGACGAATGTGCGCGGCGCTAAGGCGAGAACACCATTTGAACCGGAGCCGCCCCCACCCTTGAAGCTGTTGCGAACTTTTACGACGAACGTGTGCGGCGCAAGGGCGGGAGCCACATTTTATTGAAAACGACCCGCCCCGCATCCGTGAAACTCTTGCTGACATTTGCGACGAATGTGCGCGGCGCTAAGGCGAGAGCTACATTTTGAAAATGAGCTTCTTTCAATGTGTGGAGCCGTTGCAAACCTTGAGGACGAATGCTCGCGGCGCTGAGGGGAGCGCCGCATTCGACCAGCCCTCCACTCGTGAAGCAGTTGCACGTTGCAAGCTTCAGGATCATCAGTGGTGAGGAAGTCTCCCGACCCGCCCGCCCTACCCGCCCTACCGACACGTTTGCGGGTGCGACAGGGGGGAGTTCTTGCGAAGGCCTTACAGTCGGGGCCCTGAAGAAGGAACCCTTTTCGTTGGGGAGTTTCTCCGCGTTCCACAGCTTGCCTCAGGTTGTCCTTATGTTTTCGATCGGAAGTCAAGTTTAACATATGGAAAAAAGGGGCCTCGTTCCTTATTTAGGGTTCCTTAGGTCAACGCCCCGACTGTACGGCTGGTGCCACCGACCTTGAAGGCGGGGCCTCTCCTGGGACCCCCGCTTGCGACCCCTCCTGGGGCCCGCCGGGACCCCGGGAGGGAGCGGCATTCTGACCCAGGACCCCCTTCCACAACAACCCCCCCCCTCTCCCCCACCCTTCCCAGGACACCCCGCCTGGAAGGGAAGGGATAAATGGAAGGGAATCGACTCAACTACTACGACGTTCCTTGTCCTTTTTTTCTCCATGTCCTTGGGACTGGCGACGACGACGACGACGACGACGACGACGACGACGACTCAAACAGAAAATCGTCTCACACACGCCGAAGAGTCAGCAGACTTATATGGAAAGCGGATCGGTGGGGAGGATGAGGACGATATGTAGGAGGATTGGGTGGATGTGGATGTGTAGGGGGATGGGTCAGGGAGGACGCAGGAGACAGGGTGGAGCGGATTGGTGAAGAGAAGGAGCGAGGGAGTGGGGAGGGAGGCAGGGGGGGAAGGGAGGGAGGGCTGGAGGAGGAAGGGTTGGAGAGATGGGGGGAGAGGCGGGTGGGAGGGATGGGAGGAGGCGCAACTCGGGGGGGGAGTGGGAGACGGCCGAGCGCCCGACCGAAGCCGGCGTCCCGCACCCAGGAGCTGCTGGTGGCGTTGCCCACCTCCGCCTGGGGGCCCGGTCGGGGCGAGGCGGCCCTGCTGGAGGGGAGCCGCGAGTGCATGGACGGTTGGCTGGGTGGGACATCTGGGGACAGAGTGTCCTGAGGGATGATGGTAAGGACACGAAGGATGACGATGAAGATGGTGATGTTGCTGCTGCTGATGCTGCTGATCATGCTGCTGCTGCTGATGATGGTGATGAGGACATGATGGTGATGCGGATGGTGATGAAGAAGGAGGTGCTGATTATTATGTTGCCGTTGCTGTTGTTGCTGTTGCTGTTGTTGTTGTTGTTGTTGCTGTTGCTGTTGCTGTTGCTGTTGTTGTTGTTGTTGTTGTTGTTGTTGTTGTTGTTGTTGTTGTTGTTGTTGTTGTTGTTGTTGTTGTTTTTGTTTTTGTTGTTGTTGTTGTTGTTGTTGTTGTTAACGTCGTCGTCGTTGTTGCTGTTGTTGCTTCTGCAGTTGTTGCTGTGGTTGTTGTTCCTGTTGTTGTGATTGTTGTTGCTGCTGTTGTTGCTGTTTCTGTTGTTGTGAATGAGGATGTTAAAAACGCTGATGCAGACGATGCTGATGTCGATGATGCGATGAGGATGATGATGATGACGATGATGATTCTGATGATGCTGATGATGATAATGCTGATGACGGTGATGATGAGGTTGATGATGTCGTTGATGCTGATGAGGATGATGATGATGACGATGATGACGAGGGATTGTGATGCTGATAGTGACGATGCTGATAAACATGATGCTTGCGATGATGAGTATGGCCATGACTGTGGTGATGACGATGATGCTGTTGTTGATGATATGGGTGGTTGCTCGGATCAGGATGTCAACGATGACGATCACGCCGATTCTGTCGATGACGATGCCGAATATTCCGAATATGACGACGGCGTTGATTATTTCAAGTATGATCACGATTAGTAAGGTAATGAAGATACCTATGGAGGATGGTGGTAAGGTAAACGCGGTTGTGATGACAATTGCAAGTTGTACGATAATGAACAGCAGCAGGAGACGAAGCATGATGATGACGACGATGATGAGGGTTATGATGAGGGGATGATGAAGAGGAGGAGGGGGAAGTGGAGGAGCGTCAGGAGGAAACGGCTCATGAGAATCATGACGAGGAAGGTCGTGGGCGACTGCCTGCGGGCTTGCCCACCTGCGCGAGGAGGTGCCAGCCCTCTCTAGGCACCGCCAGTGCCATGCCCGCGAATGCGCCGGAGCCAAGCGGCCCGAGCACACGCGCCACCAGCCACGGGCAGTCACGGTCCGGTCGCGGGCCCAGAAGTTGGCCGCGAGCAGCTCCGCACCAGCACCGTGCGCGGCCCGCTGCTTCCCAAAAAGAGATTTCATTTGGAACATGGCCATTTTGGGGGCTCGGGTACACTCCCCCCCATCCCCGAGGGAGCCGTTTTGCGTTGGGGGAGAGTTCCAGATGGATTTTCACCCTGGAACGGTTCCGTGGTGAAAATCCATCTGGGACCTCCCGACGCTGCGCGGGAGGGCCCAGCCGCGAAAAACAAGCTCCCCAATAAGAGATTTCGTTTGGAGATTTGACATTTTGGGGGCTCGGGGCGGCATGGCAGGGGACTCGCAGCGCACCCCTGCCGCGCCGCAGGCCACCGCAGCTGCCTCGAGGCCGCCTGCAGTTCGGCGCAGAGCGAAGCGCGGCACGGGCGCCACGAGCAGCGGCAAGCCCCGCAGCTCTGGCGCCCGGAGGGCGTGGTCCGCACGCGCGCGCCAGCCAACGCTCCGATCGATCGGCTCGACTCGGACGTGTGCTGCGGTGGGCGTTTCGGGGGAGGCCTGGCACCGCTCGGACGTGTGCACTTTTCTCGGCTACGCCAGCGCCAGAGGAGCTGGACCATCCTGGCGTATCTTGGACCACCTCGAGAAAAAAACATGCACGAAACCAAACGCACGGGACGGCGGCGAGCGAGGGGGGGAAGTGAGAAGGGGCGGGCCTTCTCAGAAGGCTCAGAAGTTCCCCTGCCCTTCTCAAGAGGTTCTGATCAGCCTTCCGCCGAAGACGCAGAAAGCTTCTCAGAGGGCGCGAGGGCTTCTGAGAAGCCCTGCCGCCTTCCGAGAAGGCCTTCTCTTTCTCACTTCCCCGCTCGCTCGCCGCCGACAAACAGTGCTCGCCCCCCCTTGCTCCTCGCTCCTGTTGCACACACCCTCGGCGGCGCGCCGCATGAGGATCCGCGGGCACCAGGCCTGCTCAGCGCCGTCGTGTGCAGGGGCACTTTGCAGTGGCAGTGCGAATGCTTTCGCCGTGCTGGCTGAGGCGTGATGACACATGGTGGGGCTGTGTTCCATGGAAGCAAAAAGGCGACAAGCAGTGCACGGGGAATGGACGCCCGAGCGATGGCCAGGAGAGTGCCGGCCGCGGCCAGCTCTCCGTGGCATGCAGCGGCCCTCCGCCTCCTCCTCCTCCTCCTCCTCCTCCTCCTTCTCCTTCCTCCCTCCTCCTCCTCCTCCTCCTCCTCCCTCCTCCGTAGCCATTTTGGCTCAAGATGCCAGGTTCCACAGGGGAACAAGTGGATACCGCCAGTCCGCGGCTGGCAAGACCCTTTGTGGTCTGGCAGTGTTTCTCTCTCATCCTGTCGCTCGCCTCCACGGGTAAACGGAGGTGTTTCCCGTTCCTGTGCTGTCGAGCGCCGCTGTCGCCATGGGGCTTCCCGACGCTGCATCGCTCGCCAAGGTTGCCCAGGAGCTCGATGACATGCCCACCTTTCCTGTGGATGACAATGACGATGACCACCATGATCGGGGCTCACCCGAGCACAAGTACCCGCGCACGGAGGACGGCAAAGGCGGCAACACCGGTGGCAAGGGAGTCGCTGGCATGGCTGCCCGCGCGGCGGGCGCTGTCGGCTCTGCTCTTTTTGGCGGTCGTTGCGATTCTCAGTGTACTCCTGGCTCGTCCCCTGCTGGCGCCCATCGTGACCCTGCCCAACCTCCAGTGCAGCAGCCTCAATATGATGATGACTATATCAGGCACGTCGCAGCAAATGCAGTTGCTGAACAGTTCGGAGAACTACGATCGGAACTGGAATCTCTGGTTGGATCTACCGTCGGCGCAACTGTGCAATCGTCAAACAAATCTATTCTCGACACACTGGAGTCTCTGCGTGTACAGATCTCGGCCCAGCCGAAAGAAATCGACCAGCAGATCATGGCCACTGTTCGCCCACACATCGATGCCATTCACCGTGGCCTACAGTCCAAGATTGACTCCCTCGGCTCTCATGTCAACACGCTCTCGATCGATGTTGAGAAGCACACCGCAGACATCGCCAACCTGCGTAAGCAGATGGAGGAGCTCCGCAGCGAGCTCATGGTCGCCAAGCGCACCGAGAAGGCTCCCTCGGCACCGCCCTCTTTCGATCGCGTGGAGGACCCCTCGGTCGTCGTCGCCATGGCAACGAAGATGGTTGGGATCGATCCTGTGCGTGCTGCACTCTCTCCCTTCTTGGGGGAGCTGGGCATGGACGCATCATCATACACTATCAAGTCCGCCGGTCCGATGCCAAGCAGAAGGTACCTCGTCTCATTCAATGGCAGTGTGGGGCTTGCGTCCAAGTATGTCAACAAAGTCCTATCCAATCTCAGGCAGAACGATGAATGGCGTATCTTCCAGGCTGATGTGTCAGGCTCAACTCCCGCTCGCCTCCATCTCGGACCAGACAAAAATCCAAAACAAATTAAAACGGAAATGGCGCTCAGGAAGCTACGAACGGCCCTGGCTGGCAAATATGAAGGGCGATGGGCCGTGGACAGGGAGCGCGGTGTCCTACGCTGTGGGTGGACGCACATCCTCAAGCTCTCCGCCCAGCCTGACGACCAGCCCTTCGACATCCTCTACAACGACGAGGGCCTCAATGAAGTCGGCATCGCCAAGCACGAGGTCCGCGAGCTTGTTCAATCCACCATTGCACCGCCACCGCCGCCTCAGTGGTGCCTTTAACGAGATGATGCAGATGTTCAACCTTCCTCAAGCCAAAGATGGAAGCACCGCTTTGAGATGTGCTACATGGAATGCGAGGGCGCTCCTGCAGTACCAAGGGGCGAAGGCTATCACCAAGTTACGATATCTGCAGCAGATTCACCTGCAATCCACGCTGCTGGCGATGCAGGAAGTTCATGCTGATCGAGTCCAACTGGAACAGTTCGTGCTCCAGGCTCATGCCCATGCTGTTGTCCACGCCTCATTTTGTGCAGTCGATCAGGGGGGATCGGGTGCTGGAGGTGTTGCTACCATTCTTCCTCGACTCGCTCTTGACGGAGCATCGTCTAGCTGTGCCACGCCGCTCATCCCAGGAAGGGTCCTGCAAGTTGATGTGCATAGACGTGGCTATCAGTTGACACATTTTAATATACACAACCACGGCCTCACAAGCGCCCAGGTGGACATGGTCTGTGAGCAGATCGACAGGTATCGGGTCGCCGCGGCGTCTGACCCAACCCACCACCTGGTCATCGTGCAAGGTGACCTGAACTTTGGCCCCGACGAAGCTCTGGTGCTCCATCGCCCACTTCCCTCGCGTGCTTCTGATCCTCGGAATCATCGTGCCCAAGCTGCCCGTTGGCTACGCTCTCTGGGTGCGCTCCTTGAAGTATCATCGTCAGCGGCTACTCACTATACGAAGCACACCAACTCTGTCAGCTGCATAGACCGGTTCTTTTGTTCTCTACCGGAATGGATGCTATGCCAAGTTCATGCTGAATCCACCACGGTCGGCGAGCCAGAGGCGTTGTCCCGTGCTCAAATCTCTGATCATGCTGCTCTGGTGACTACGTTGCGCCAGCGCCACCACAGACCTCAGGGAGAACAAGCTATACCGCGTCACCTCTTCCATGACCCGCTCATCAAGAAACGTATTGAGGGAATGGTGGTTGATGGCCAGAACGCCATTGACGCACATGCTGGCTCGATTTATCAGGAGCATTTCAAAGAGATGCTCAAAGAAGCTGCGCGGGAGGTGCGCGACATGCTCTTCACGCTGAAGGCGGAGAG